ACACACAACACTAAGAACATAGAACATGCTAGACCTAGTCAGTCATAATAATTACTTGGCTGCTAAATGGAACATATGATCACATATGTTATTCAAGACGTGCATTTGTACCACTGAGTCTTGTCTTATAACTGTCAACAGACCATTGTTTCTTTATGGATGGTTTAACACAGCTAATAAGCTATGATAGCTTTCCTCCATGATAGATTCACGGCTCCCTCAAAGGTTGGCACGGTCAAGACTGTTAGCAACTAGTCAACAGCGCAATTTTGCATGACAGTCCTTTGATCACAGTGATTCCATTTAAATTGGTTGGTTGGATGTTGTGTCCGAGCCTTTAACCTTATACAGTTGGTGTTAGGGAATGTAGTTACAGTACATGTGTGCTACCTATAAGTGCAATATGTTATTTCCTGTTTATTGATCTTTGTACGAACAAATGCTTCCACTTAATATAGCTAAAATATATCTAATCAAATTTTTCCTACCATTTGGGTATTAGCGTCTCTGCCAAAAGGTAGTATGTGTCGACACTTACATTTAAAAGTATCTTGGTATAAACTGTAAATGTAGTCAGGGTGCGGTGTATTAATTACTGTAATATAATAATAACTGTGGCACTTAAGGTGGACTGTTATGAATATAACGAATGTGTCGGACTGTTCACTTTGATTGTTCCCTGGCCCTGTATGATTATATTTGACAAATAACTGAATTTTGTACCTTGAACTCTACATCCAGGATCTCCTCCAAACCCTGCTCTTTTTTCCTCCTTTTTTGTCCTTTTCAGAGGAAATATCACTGCATGGAAGCAGTGCAAGCTGCTGGTTGCTGTCCGTGTTTGTTTTGGTACAAGGACACGCAATAATCTCGCAGGATTTATGAGGTCATCTCCCGGCCAGAACTCTAGTGTAGTGTGTTATGTATTTACTGACTCGGTTAGAGGTTAGTGCTTCTTCCTGACTGTCAAAGACTAAAAATGAAAATGTGCAAGTTTATGGAAACAATCTTTATATGATCATACAGTCTATAGCAGTTGTGACAAATTGAACAATAAAACTGAATCAATAAACCTGCTATGTATAATTCATACAGGCAACACTCACTGGCTGATATCCAGTTTTCAATTAGCAGATCAATATTGCCCCCATACACCAGCAGACCCAGATATCTGTTTAAACCACTGAGTGTTTCATTTTTAGTAACAACCAACAGGAACAACTCTTCATTTGAGCTGGAGCACACAGCCTCTGGTCTCCTAGGCAACAAGCCAGGTTTCCCGCGGTAGCATATCGCTGAAGCCCATTGGTGGGAGGATGAGGAGCTCCCTGCAGCATTCCCATGGCAACGGGCTCTGTGGTTTCTGTGAAATGATGGCATGTTTTTTGTCTTGATAACTCTGTGGCACCAGGCTCACCCCCATACTGACTCTCACACACACATCGGACATTATTTTTTTCTTTCCTCTCATATAAACACAAAAGCTGTGAACCTGTATGTCTTCTCTTGCTTCCTCTTCGCCAAACTGGGACTTCACTAATTCAAACTGTTGCAATTAATTCATTCCACATAGCATGCTAGAATCACTGTGCCAGCGTGGTACGATGTCGATGCGATCCTGTGAACACTGTGATCCAGCATTGTGATTCTCATGAAATAAAATACAAATGTACAGTAGTACTATAGGTACACAAGGTAGGACAGAATATGTCAGTGAAATAAAATAACTGAGCAGAGAAATGTACTGTGCCATGATCTCATTTATTTTTCTTCCTTTCGTGCTCTTGGTGCAGTTTATCTGTAGATAGCTATCACACAGAGGCAGAGGTGTGCGCTAGTTATTTTATAACATGCTTCTATGTCTGCAAGTCCACTGACATGATGCTTGCAAAGGCGTCTGCCAACATACAGTACATGAATGCAAGTTTTTATGAGCACTCTAAGGGGCTTGTGTCCTAATGACAAACAGATGTACAGGAAGCAGGACGGTCATCAGCGTTTCACTGAAGAGGGATCCTTCAAATGGATTGACAAATCTTCAAGTTGCTCCCCAAACTGTTCCACTGGGTTGGGTCTTGGCGCAATAATGTTACCATATGCTGTTCCCCACCCACAAGAGAGCCCATATGAAGTGTAGCAATTTACAACTGTGTATTCGGCTCCTCCATGTGCTGCAGTGCATCCAAACATGAAGAAGTTAAAATGTATCTTCACAACACCATGTTTCAGCTCTTTGCCAGCTACATTTTAGCTATTGGTTATGAAAATGACTGTCTGGCCAGTAACAGCTTGGCTGTGAGATTGTGGAACAGAGTTGAATTTTTTCTAACTTTCTGAAAGCGATAATCTCACAAGCGTGCAAACTTCATGCAGCAATTAGCCAGGTGTGCTCCCTCAAGTGACCTTTTGTGGTTTCGCAAATAATGATTCATCAGTCATTCTCAGCAGCAAAATCAGTAGAAGCGTGATGTGGTTAATACCACCGTAAAAGATCTCAGGGAGGAGGTCCCTCCCACGTCCACACTGGTGACCAGGGTAAGTTTCCTTTCTCTACCAACAGTCGATGTCTTTTTTTTTTTTACCGTGATCTTAACCATGGACGTGGTAGATCAGAAAACCATGGTGGTGTCATCACTCCCTCGTTTTACTCAACTAACCAATAAGGTTCTTTTTTCTGTTTTCAAAACAGTTCTAAAATCATAAGGATTTGAAAAACTGAAAAGACATATTTTTCTGTTTCTGCTGATACCAAATTGTAAATTATAGCTTTGTTGTGCTAGCAGTAATATCAGATACCACTGATGTCCCAGTAGCTCCTCTCCAGCAGGTTTGTACCACTGGTAGATAATATAATATTCTCTATATCGTACAGTGTGTGCAAACACACATCCACAGAAGTGCGCGCGCACACACACACACACACACACACACACACATCAGGCCTTCTTTGATCATCCCGATTTGACTCAGTAGTTGCTATGCCAACAGGCGAGAATAAAGCTTTGAGCTGCAGCACTATGGCTTTCATGACTGATGCAACATTTACCATAACCACCCGCCACACACACCCACCCACTCACGCACACTCTCACACAGACACACACGCATGCACACTCACTCTCACACACACTCAGAGGACAATTTCTTTGAGTTTGTCTTTAACAGTTCAGGCGGCTTTAGTATTTAGGTCACCTCTTTGTGGAGGGAGAGAGGGAGGAGGGAAGGAGCATCCCAAAGTAATGGTTGCTGTTGATTGGTCAGAACACACACACACACACACACACACACACACACAGAGTACCCTTGTGATCGATTCAGTGCAGCTCTGCTTTCTCCATCTCCTCAGTGACTCGTTTTGTCTCTCTGTCCCTGCTGTTCATTTTCCAGAGGACACATGAGGGATTCTGGGAGTGTCTTGTCCTCCTTCGTCTTACTCCCTCTTGACTCTCTCTGACTCGATACTCCTCACTTCTTCCTCGCTCCTGTCTAGCATGACCTACATTTCCTCCCAATACGCTGGCCCTTTGATTCCTCCCTGTCTTTTCTTTTGTAACCACCTCCGCACACGTTAAAAGACACACACATACTGACACACACACACACACACACACACACAGTCCCACAGGAGGATGGGGGTGGGGTGGAGTCCCTAAGTCCATTTAGAGCTGTTATGGGTGGAGTTCTAAAATAGAATGCCAAGCTAAGCCCTGAGTGAACCCTGTTTCAAAACACTGCCTGTGTGTGTGTGTGTCTGTGTGAGAGAGCAAGATAGATAGGTAGAAAGAGAGAGAGAGAGAGAAAATGGTAGGTTGAGGATATGGTGCCTCCTATGGACGAACAGCGTCCCCTCTGTGTTGACATGTATAACTCCACACTGCCATCTGCTGAGCCTCGTTCAAGAGTACAACCACGTCTCACAATCAGATCACCTTGCTGCCATCTGCTAACTGCTGTCTAAATGAACTGTTTTTCTCCTGTTTTTCATGGCGACCCTGGTGATTGCAGACATTTCCCATGAAAGCGTGTTTGGATTACTTTTTTCTGTTCAAATTCTTCACAAACTGTAACAAATGCAGCTGTTAAATATGGTGATACTACCAGTAAAAAGCAACCATTCTTTGGTCTGTTGTCATCAGTGTAAATGCGTGTCAATGCAATAAAAAACCTGTTTTTTGGATTTGGGAATTGGATATTGTGCATTTCTTTATAATGCTACTGTAACAACAGAATTAGAACTTCCATGACTTGCTGCTGTATTATTAATTCAATTCAATTCAGTTTTATTTATATAGCACCAATCATAACAAATGTTATCTAATTGCACTTTTAATATTGAGCAGGTCTAGACCGTACTCTCTGTAATATTATTTCCAGAGACCCAACAGATCCCACCATGAGCAAGCACTAACCCTGCTTAACATAATTTTCTTTGGCCGGTAATTTAATTTTTTTTACTAAAAAGAGCACCTTCCTTTACCATCTTATCTGTGACTGACAGGTAATTTTATCTACGTTTTAGGAAAACACTCTATTTACATATTGAAGTCATTAACACATTGTTAATGTTGCCATGACACTCATGTCCTCCTCAGGGTGAATTGTAATAACTTTGGTTAGTGCCAGCATCAGGTCAACACTTTTTTTCTCCAGTAGCTTGGTTTAAATACCTGCAAAACTGAAGACATTATTATCAGCCTCAGCTGTGCTTTGTGTTTAGTGCTAGTTAGCAAATGTTAACACGCTAACATGTAAAACTACGATGGCACACATGGTGTACATTATACCTGCTAAACATGAACATGTTAGACTCTTCATTGTGAGCATATTTCCACGCAGACTTCCAGGCTGAGCTAGATGGACTGGATGGAAATGTCTAATCGCAACCGCCCTCTATCACCATCAGGAAAGTGAGGAAAGCAGTCACTTCCTCCAATTCTCTCTGTGTTTGCTTATTGGATCGCACTTCATCCTGCGTGCGTGTGTGCGTGTGTATGTGTTTGTGTGTGCATGTATGTAGTCAGTCCTCTCGGGCTGACAGTTACAGTCAGACAGTCAGACATAAACATATCAAAGGCATGCTACACCAGAGGAGCTTCAGAAAAGCCTGTGCTCGAGGCACCCAAGGGTGAGCCACTGATTTGTTTCTCCATTCAGTTTTCATCACCTGTTGTTTTAACACCTTTATGTGTTTGTAACGACCTTTTGGGCATATTGTTGTATAGTGCTAATAGAGAAGGGTATGAGTCATTTAAGTTTGCTGTTATTTTAACATTGTAAATGTAACTATACTGGTGTGCATAAAAAAAGAAATATCTTTTATTGGACACTTTCATAACTATTAAGGAGCATTTAATTAGAAGTTCATTAAAACACTGATAATCAGATCTAAAACATCAGTGTCTATTAAATATGAAACTACAGCCAAGAGACTGCTGGCAAGAAACTAAGCACAGGAAAACAGCTCGCCCGGCCTTCTGTCGAAAGGTAAAGCTTAGACCTTGTGTGTTAAATCCATTCAAAATCAAAATGATAAAAACCACAAGTTACATGTTAATTAGTTGTTCATTTGTGATGCTTTTGAGATGCTGGTAGGCTTTTATTTTTTGTCTTGAAAAAAATCCTATTTGTGCTGTGTCCTCAGATGCTGCAGTTTAACGCTCAGCCAGAGAATGTACATTGACTTCTTCTACACTTTTTGGCTCAGCTGTGTTGAGTCTGAGCCCTGCAGCTGTCTTTAGAAGCCAGCCAGCTGCCACTAGAGGTCACTGTGTCTAAAGTGTCTAAACACATCTGCTGCATAAATACAGTTGCTCACAGTAACCAAAGTTTAAGGAGAATGAGCTTAGTAGGTGGAGACTTGAACCGCTGCAATCACTATAATAAAAAACAATTCAAATTGTGTATGAATGTAATATACTGTGTACAATAATGTGTAATAAAGAATGTGTCACATCTCCCTAAATTATTAAATAAACTATATGTGAGGTTGCCAAATTTAAAGTAACAGTAAGGATACTGGTGTGAAAGGAAAGCACAAGTGAAAACACCTGTGTGGGTAGACTATGGGGCCTTCAAAGCCAAAAGAGCATACTAAAGATCTTGGCCAAAAAGTCACAAAAATTGTAATAATTATATATTGCTTTTACAAATCTAAGTTGTTGGGCTTCTGTAAATTAAGCTGGGTTTACTTAAAACACTTTTTAAGTGAGTAAGGAACTTGTGCGGCAGTGTCATACCTTGTTTGATCCTTTGAAGAGGCCTCTCTTACAAAGTTGTGCTAATGTGTTCTTTTGTCTTTTTGTTTGTGATTGTGGCTTTGCCTTGTGTTGTGTTCCAAAGTTGTCATACGGTGGATCCCAGAAAACAATCACATAGGGAGGAGGTTGCAGTGGTGGTTGTGTTTGTTTTCTTCAAAAATATTTTCCTAACTAACTTGAAATTGCCTCGAGGTATGAGGTGCATTGCCAAGCTGATTGGTGAAATTCTTCCCCCAACACAGTCATTTTGAGCTGCCATCTAGCAGGCTGAATTGCCGCTTTAATGGAAAATAGTTTTATCTTGCAACTTTGAAGTGATTTTCTTTTTTCCTCCTACATTCTCACAACTCCTCCTTTTCACTCTTCTTTCCTTTCCCACATCTCATACACCAAACACTTGTCTCTCTCCCCCAAATCCCACTATCATCATCACACACTCATTATTAGTGTGAGCAGTAAGAGGCAGTGTGGCTATTATGGCTGTCCCTCAGTCTGAAGTATGGGAGGAGTGCTGGGGGCTGCTCCGTCCCTGGCAGGCAGAATATCACATGTTGGCTCAGCCTAAAGGACACTTCTTACAGTAACATGCCATGGGATTAAAATACAAAATGAACACCTGCAGCCAGGACACTTTTTGACTTCAGCAGCACTTGAAGGTAAGTTCAGACAGTTTGACAGAATGAGAAAAGGAAAAGCTTTGGTGGCGCAAAGTCCTCTACAGGCATTTTCGTGTTCAAGAAGATGTTTTATTACATTGCCCAAAAGTTTGGGGGGTAGTGGATAGGATAATGGTGCAACATTAGTGTAAGAGCAGTCCCACCACTAGGTGAAGCTCTTCCATGTAATGGTCTTTATCAATAACTGAAAGGAAAACAAAATGAATGCAATGTGTCTTGTCATTTCCGACATCTGATGACTTTGCTTTCATCATGGTGGTTTCAAAGCTCACTGCCATGAGGTTTTTGTGCGGCATTTTGCACAGACCATGTCATAAGACTGGAAGTTTAGAACAAAACATGTAAAAGCCATCAATAACAGGGTGAAACCCTGTTGTGATATATCAGTCATGTGTTATCAGCAAAGAGCCCTAAAAACCGAGTCAGTAACATCCGACAGACAGAGGTAGCAACTGACTGGTGAACATATTGCAGATAGTGAATATATGACTTACATTCATCAGGTGGCCAGAAGCGTGATGCCAAAGTAATGCTAATGTTTCTCTGTGCCAGGCACTGGTTATCTAACACCTAAAACAACTTAGAAGGTTAAAATATGTCATTGTTGTTACACCTATTTTTTGCTGCCCCCAAGAGATCAAAAATAAGTTGACTCATTGTGTTTCTAAATGTTTTGTTTAAATTCAGGTTTGATTTTGTGTTGATACTTAATTTCTCTTTTCATTGTCCCTTCCTTTTCTCATCACTATTTACACTGCGTCTTCTTTTCAGAAGTGTGTGTGTTTATCAGTGCAGTAGCTTTCCATTGGATGGGAGCAGAGTTGAGAAAGCTACTAAAAATCATTTTTAATGCTACTTTGCTTATTGCAGGGGGAAAAACAGTCACACTGTCAAATGTACTGTGAAATGCACATATTTATTTACAACAGTATGACACTTTAAAGAGTAAACAGATACCGAAGAAAAAAACATAAAAGTATAATACCTTTCTTTTAGATTTGTCATGCAAAAACTGAACAAATAGCTGTTACATTCTCCAAATTTTAATTCAGCTGCAGATCTGCTGATCATTTAATTACATGTACTGAAATGACTTCCCGGCAGCGTGGATCGTTCCAATAATGGTGCCACACTGTGGGGAGCCACCAAGTCTGGTCTGAACCATTAACAGCAGCTGTCTCTACCCCTCTTCTATTAGCACCCATTCTAACACTCACAACACAATATGTCTCAGACAAGCTAACTCTAATCCTATCTACTGTAAATCACACTGTCTTTCTAACTCTCCCTCTGTCTTTTCCCCTGTTTCACTCTCATTCTGTTTAGCACATTCTCATACAAGGTCAAGAAACACAGTTTGGCAATTTATCATTGTGGCTGTAGCATAACAGCAAGAGACCTGTGCCGGTGAGCCAGTGTTATGTGTCAGTCATACCCCACTTTTGCTTACCAGCTGCAATAGAGATGTCTTTGAAGTAAAACACCTGTTGGCAGCCATATTGGTGATCATAGGCTCCTGGAGAACAGTGGTAGTGGGCAGTGTCAGTAGATGTGTTCCCGTAAGAACAAAACTTACAAGCACCCTGTTCACTTATTAATTCTTATATAACTATTTCTGTCTATGAATAAATTAATTTATGTTTTTCTGGTATTTTTTATAGTGTTTGTGTTAATCTGAATGAACACGACTTTATTCAGAATCACGCATCATGTATTAAGGGCCTGCCAAAAAAACAGGACACTGACATCAGGTAAAAATACAATTTATTTTGTGCTACAGTTATGCATTAAAAATGAACATATTTACAACAAAACACATTTTCACAGTGAACCTTTGCCAGCTTTTCTTGGTAAACAAGCCTTGCATTTAAGTGGACGAATTCTGCTAAGGGCTACAGTCTGCTGTAAAACACTGGGAGTGTGTTGCTTGAATATAGTTAACAGAAACTTTAAAGGGAGACCCATGATTTTATTAATATATACCAATTTACAGCTTCACTCATTTGATGGTCTTCAAGTGCGCAACTGTTCTGACTCCAGTTTAAGACATCTCTCTCTCAATTTAGATCGATTCAGCTTTATTGGCATGAATGTAAAACAACAATAAGCTACAAATGAATTAAAAAAGAACTGTTAATTTCACGCAGTTCATTAAATAAAGTAAATAAAACAGTAAAAGTGTGCGTTTGTGTGTGTAAAAAAATTTTCAAAATAAAGTTAATGCAGAAAATAAATATATAAAAAACAACTAACAAATCTGTATCAAATATGAAATAAAAAAAAACAAATAAAGGAAGAATTACTGAAATAATTAACAATGAAAATAATAATCATTAGAATTTTTTTTCAGTACAATTGTTTAATATATTTATCAGTCTGGTCTGCTAGTCTGAATTTCCACTGCTGGTCCTCAGTTTGTGGCATGATGTTAGCTCTCTCTCTCTCTCTCTCTGTTATTCAATAGAGTTCTTCACAAATCCAAATGGCAAACAAACTCTTGTTCTTCTGTCTGAAGCAATGTAACAGCAGTGGCAGCCCAAGTTGAAAATAAGTTGAGTTGTTGAGGGTGAAAGTGACAGCAGCAGCACTATCCCGTTTGTTTTACCCCACATGTGTATCTCCAGTATTGATTTTATTTAGTATATAGTCATTTTTACTGCAGCTTTATTTTATAAGCTGCTTCTTAACTATTTTATTCTAAAGAAGGCTGAACAGCTGTGTCTGACTTTTACCGTGTGTTCTGCAGTGAGTCGGGTGGCAAAAGACAACTGCAGGCTACACACACCGAAACACATACCGTCCAAATAACCTTCCAGAAACAGAAGCATGACATCACTGCTGAGACACACTGTGGGTGGGTGGGTGTGGGTGTGAGTGTGGCAGGCATGCCTGTGTGTCTGCACCTGTGCCGTCATCTTGCCACCTGACAGTTTGCCTTTTGAACTGCTTATGATGAAGCAAGCGTGTGTGTGCGTGTGTGTGAGAGAGTCAGTGTATGTCATGGTGTTGTATGTAGCTATGTCTAAGGATATAGTTGAGGACAGCTTGCAGTATGTGGACAGTATGTGTGAGCATGTGTGTATGGCATAGGATGTGTGACCACATCAGAGAACATTCCTGTTGTCAGCAAGATATGCTGCCCATGACCTTTTTAACAGTTATAAGAAAGGTTAGGAAATAGCTCTGTTCGT